GGTATTTTGGTTTCTCAGTTGGATCAGGAGGAGAAAGCGGCTGGTTTGTTGTTTCTTTTTCTGTTGTTTTTACGGCGCTTACGATGGTACCGGTAGCGGACAATCTCGCTCCGGCCATCTATGAGATAGGCTTATTAGATAGATAGATGGTTAGATATTATCACATGGATGACGGGTCAAATACTTGGTCAAGTGCTGTACGCGTAGAGAATCTTGCTCTGCTGCAGAATGTCTGCGTTGTATGGTAGTGCCAACGAAACCCAACTTCTATTCACAACCCATCTTGCTTGCGTCACCGAGTCACAGATTCACAGTGTATGTCAGTTGCGACCAGACTACAGCCTGTTATACTTTTCTAGATTCCTGTCCAGGATCGTAAGTTTACATGCGTAAAACTTTAAACAAAGCAGGCATGAATCAGCATCGTCTAGGATTCTCCGGAGGATGAGCCAGGCTGTCTGTGCAGTGTGCACCTAATTTGGGTGTCGAATGCTCCCCTGAACCATAAGCTTAGAAAGAAAGCTTTCTGAAACGTCAGTGGGCCTTGGTGTACGTATATTACTTATTTGAGTTACTTGGCCATATCCTTCTAGCTGTCCTCCTCTTGGCCTCGCGGTCACATTTGGTACATGTGCCGAGGGACTCTTACGGTAGTAGTACGAAAAGGGTCTTAATGAACCAACACTATAATCTGCTCACGTATTGATAGCCTGCCTCATAGTGTAGCAATATAACGCAAAATGGCAAATAAAGAATAGAGAGCACGCGTCACAAGAGGATCATGGTTCATGGTAGGGCCTTTTGTAGTTGGCTTAGTATGGATGCGGAATTTTTTACCAGATGTGCGACGACCAAGGATTCCCACTACCTACAAGAGAGAGCGCAAGCAATCGCTAAGACTGACAGCTTTGATTGCAGAGAAGCCTTGGTGGTTCTTCTCCTGCTCATTGCAATCATCAGGGGTATCCAGAACTGAATATACGGACAACGTGCATACTACATGGCCATCAGACACATCACAATCTGCACCCTGGGCAACTTCTCAGAGCCAGACACAAGCAATCATGGCCGTGGCGCCTGATGGCCCCTGATAAAGCCACGATTTCACAATTTGCCTCGCAAAACGAAGTTTTTACGGGACCGTGAGCTCATGCCTATATCTAAACGGAGAAGAAGGCCAACATTCGGCAGGTTTGGCGATGAATGAGGGGGGTTGATAATTATAGCCATTGTCTGCATCGAAATTGCTGCGGGTTCAGATGGTGTGAGGACGACCGTGAAGGCGTGATTGCGCCGAAGCTTCATGAGCTCGTCGTGACTTTGGCCTACACGACTCTGTAAGCTTGAATGAAGCGGCACGGTGTGATGGAACATAGTGCTTGGGTACGGGCCATGAGAGGAGGGGGAAGGCCAAGTCCGGAAGAGGCAGGCCAGAGCGTTCTTTGTCATGGCGTACATGGCGGTAATGGTGGCATTTGGTGGTGAGAACGGAAGAGGCAACAAGGTGTCGATGGACAGTAGGAGTACTCTGAGGATGGCCTCGGTTCCTGGTCTAAAAATAGGACTCCAAGCAAGGGCAGTCAGTGCACAGTGCCACACCTTGCGATGCGGGCGCACCTGGCTCTGGCTTCCCCTGTCCCATCCCATCGTACTCTACCGTATCTTGGCTGACTGCCGGTCCTTAGCGGGCATCGCCACTCGCCTCCTCCCCTTTGTCTGTTTTGCATCCATCAAGGTAGCATTGTCTGCACCCGCGGAATGCACTCCATGTTCGACCGTCCCAGTCGCACTCTACCGGTACACTGCGAAGAGGGGAAGTGCTAGCTCGTGACCGAATCCCACCATGTCCATCCACCGCTCACACCTCGGCGCTTATATGGAAATGTCAAGCAGATTGCCACGAGCTCGGTCTCCCTGTTGTAGATTGCGGGCATAAGGCATGCCGTACCCGCGACGTGGTTGATGCCCAGATTTGTCGAGCTCTGGGCTAAGAAATTGCCTAAGTGAGCTTTGCAAGCCAACCCTGATCCCTCCAGTCGACCCCAAGAGTCCAGGAATACCTACCTACTACTACCCAGTCTTTGCATCACCTAATCAATCGACTTTCCTTCTGAGCGAACCCTGGGAAGCAGATCTGTCTCCACCTCCACCTCCACCTCACAGGACTGCGAGAAGACATGCATGCATGCATCACGTTAAGTACCTGCTTGCTTTCCCAAGAACACTCCTGTTCCCCATCTCCCTCCAATTAGCAGAGTACCGACTTCCGCCCATCCCACCTCGCGACCACCCTGGACACCATCCTCCAGCATCATTCGAATATAACCACATCCTGTCCTACCTGCCCTGGCATACCTCTAACCCGTGTTGGCTTTTGGACCTATAGTCGCCGACTAGAATCTGCTGCAGCAGTGCAGGCCACCTTTGCGGCATCTGACCTTCATACACATCTTTGGCCTGTCCAGCACACGACACACTCACCAGACACACTCGTCTACACATCTGACTTGCTTCTCCGCATCCCGACTCGTTTCTCACAGGCTTCCCTGCGACTCCGCCCGGCTTGCATCCTACCCATCAGCGCAGCTTTATACTGGCCATAAGCAAACGTGGCACATCTACCGGCATCGCACCGTTCCCCGACACCGAATATTCTCCGTCTTGTGTCTCATGGTCCCTAGTATTTCGGCGTAGAGAGAAACTCGACAAGTAAAGGCACAGCCCTATCGTGCATTTGAGTCAATGCAAGAGAGGCGCAGCGCATGGCTTGCATCTTGTGACCCATTGAGAGCCCTAGAAGAACACAGCCTGACGACACAACAACCTTCCTTCCGTGCCGAAGAGGATATATTCTTGCCTAGCCCTACCATGTCGCCCCATCGCCCGCGCTCGTCGATGAACTCGGACTTGAACAAGCCACTACCACCATCACCCTTGATTTTAGAGAAGAGCAATCGAAAGTCATCTTTCCGCGGCTTCTTACGACGTAAATCTCCTGTCCAGTTGCAGACCATGCACCTCCAACCCGAGCCATACCCACATCGTCACTCAACTTCGAATACAAACCCAAATGATCACTATCGCCACGGTTACTCTCGCAGCATGCCAAGTTCTCCACGAGGCTTCCACCACTCTTCAGCCCTGCACGATCCTAATTTCGGTAATCGTATGCCATCCGCTACGCCTCACGTATCAGAGTCGGTATCACATCTTACGTACCCAGACAGACCGAACCAAACAACGTACTTCCACGAACAGCGGCCCAATTCGACGAGCAACTACGACACAACAACCCCTTCGAGATTGTGTACGACCCTTCCGTCAAGTAATGATCATTCTACAACGCGAGAG